TGTGGAACAGACCACCATCCAATCACTTAATGACCTTAATCACTTTCCCCATCAAAGAGAAAGGTTAAAAGGATTCAACCATGAGCAACCATTTGCCATTGCCTTGCTAAGCTATGGTGTGACCATGTGCTCTTTGAGCTATGGCCAGGCCATGTTTTCTTAACCTTTGACCCCTTCTCCTACCTTGGGAAGGTGAAGCTCCTCTTTCTCTCTCTCTAATTTAGTTTTAGATAAACTATATTTTCTAATCTAACTTCTGTGCAATTCTTTGCATCTTTCATGTGGCATTGGATCATACACCAGACACCCCACATCCCCAGCAGGCCTGACCTAACATTCCAGAGGGCCCAATGGGAGGGTGACCCTAACAATGACATACATCACAGGCCACTTCATTTTTCTGTGCCCCATCCCCCCCGTCTGAAATGGAGATGACAGTACGCCCCTCGTGAGGACTAAATGAGATGTGCTAAGTGCTGGCATGTAGCTAGAGGTGGTGGCGATGGCAGTGATGGTTACATGGTGACCTGCGAGCTCTCCTGCTCACTAGGTCAGACTCAGGACATGTGGAACCAGCCCCTGTGGCTTGAGATGGAAGGATTTTCCTGAACACCTTTGGGGCTCCCCAGGCAGCGAACTGGGCCTTGCTCCCAGGTTGCCCTCTGGTGGCTAATCCATGCAGGTGCAGGCTCAGGAGGACACAGGGAGGGGCCAGACAGGAGAGAGGGTGCCCATTCTAGAGCATGAGAGGCCCTGCGGTGAGCCTGGGTAGTGGGGCCTGAGGGTAGGTCTTATTGCTGGGAAATTCTGGCTGTGAGACCTCAGACTGACCTCTTCTCTGTGGGTTTTGGCTCAGGAATATCAGGGTGAAGAGTAGAACCTTGGATAGTCATTTAAAAAATCTGAATACTTAGTGTTTTCATATGTGTTCAAGAATCGTAACTCTCAAATCCTTTAGTATATGGATATTACAGTTTTAAGATGAATAGAAAGATTTTTAGGCTGGGATTACACATGGGCCTGTAATCCCAGCTCTCCAGGAGGCTGAGGAAGGAGGATCCCATGAGTCCAGGAGTTTGAGGCTGCAGTGAGCTATGATTGTGTCACTGTACTCCAGGCCAGGTGAGAGAGTGAGACCATGTCTCAAAGAAAACAAACGAACAAAACAAATATATATATTTACACATTCACACACACACATATGTAAATATATGTATAGTGTTTAAAGTTCATAAGGCTGGGCGCAGTGGCTCAGGCCTGTAATCCCAGCACTTTGGGAGGCTAATGTCAAAGGATTGCCTGAGCTGAGGGGTTCAAGACCAATCTGGGCAACTTGGTGAGACCTTGTCTCTATAATAAGTCAAATAAATCAGGTGTGGTAGTGCACGCCTGTAGTTCCAGAACTTGGAAGACTGAGGTGGAAGCATCGCCTGAGCTCAGCGGGTCAAGGCTGTGGTGGCCATGAGTGTGCCACTGCACTCCAGCCTGGGCAACAGAGTAAGACTCTGACTAAAAAAAAAAAAATTCATTAAAAAAATATTAAGTAGCTGGGCTCGGTGGCTCAGCCTGTAATCCCGTGCCTTTGGGAGGCTGAGGTGAGTGGATTGCCTGAGCCCGCGGGTTCAAGACCCGCCTGGGCAGTGAGACTTCATCTCTACAATAAATCAAAAAATCAGCCGGGCGTGGTAGCACATGCCTGTAATTCCGGCTACTCGGAAGGCTGAGGCAGAAGGATCGCCGGAGCCCAGCAGGTCGAGGCTGCGGTGGCCGGGAACAGCCACTGCACTCCAGTCTGGGTGACAGAGTGAGACTCCAACTCAAAAAAAAAAAAAAAAGAATCAGACACAGACCTTACACCCTTCACAAAAGTTAACTTAAAATGGGTCACAGATCTAAATACAAAATGCAAAACTATAAAATTCCTAGACGAGAACAGGACAAAAACTACATGACCTTGAGTACAGCAATTACTTTTTAAATAAAACACCAAAGGCACAATCACTGAAAGAGATCACTGATAATCTGGTCTTCCTTAAAATTAGAAGCATGTGCTCTGCAAAATACAGTGCCAAGAGAATGAGAATGCAGGCACAGACTGGGAGAACATAGTTGCAAAGGACACATCTGGGCTGGGCGCAGTGGATCATGCCTATAATTCCCAGCAGATTGGGAGGCCGAGGTGAGAGGATTGCCTGAGCCCACAGGTTTGAGACCAGCCTGGGCAACTTGGTGAGACCTCGTCTCTATAATAAATCAAATAAGCCGGGCGTGGTAGTGCACACTTGTAGTTCCAGGTACTTGGAAGGCTGAGGTGGAAGGATTGCCTGAGCCCAGCAGGCCGAGGCAGCGGTGGCTGTGAGCATGCCACTGCACTCCAGTCTGGGTGCCTGGGTGACAGAGTAAGACTTCAACTAAAAAAAAAAAAAAAAAAGGGACACATCTGATGAATGATTGTTATCTAGCATATGCAAAGAACTCTTACTACTCAGCAATAAGAAAACAAGCAACCCGACCAATAAATGGGCCAAACAACTTAACAGCCACCTCACTAAATGAGATATGCAGATGCCAAAAAAAGAATGAAAAGGTACTCCACATCATTTTCCACATCGTCAGGGAAATACATTTAAACAACATTGAGACTCCACCACACACCCGTTAGAAGGGCCAAGATCCAGAACACTGACACCGCCGAATGTTGGCGAGGGTGTGGAGCAACAGGAACTCTCATCATTGCTGTGGAAATGCAAAATGATGCAGCTACTTTGGAAGACAGTCTGGCAGTTTCTTACAAAGCTAAACACACTCTTTCCATATAATCTAACCACCTTATTCCTAGGTACGGAGCCAAAGGTGCTGAAACCTGATAGCCACACAAAACCTACATGCAGATGTTTATAGCAGCTTTATTTATAACTGCCAAACTTGAGGGCAACCCAGGTGTCCTTCAGGAGAGAAATGGAGAAATAAGCAGGCGCCTTTAGATAACAGAGTATTATTCAGCACTAGAAAGAAACGTGTTGTCAAACTCTGAAAAGACAGGATGCTTCAATTTATATTACTAAGAGCAAGAAGCCAATCTGAAAAGATCACATGCCGTATGAGTCCAAATACGAGGTATTCTCGGAAAGACAGAACTAAGGAGACAGTGAAAAGATCAGGGGTTGCCGGGGGTTACGGGGAGGACGAGATGAATGGGAAGAGCCCAGAGGATTTTTAGGGTGGTGAAACTCCTCTGTAGGGTACTTTCATGGTGGATACCTTTCATCATACACTTGTGGAAACCCACAGAAGGCATGATGCCGAGAATGAACCTAATGTACACTATAAGCTCTGGGTGATGACGTGTGTTTACCCTCTGGTGGGGGTTGTTGATGGCAGGGGAGGCTGTGCACGTGTGGGGGCTGGCCCGGGGGCAACTGGGGAAGGCAGCCAGGAGGGCCGGCTTCCCAAGGCTTGAGATACTAAGCCCCTCTCCCCACCTAGTGCCATGTGGTACAGAGTGCCGGCCATAGCAGTAGTCTTCAGGCTGTGTCCTGTGTCTTTGGCTAACCTGCTGGCCAGTGGACTCGACACTCCGGGCCTTGGTTTTCCCATCTGTAAACAGAGGGGCTCAAACCACTGCAGTTGTTCCAGGGTCGGCATCTTTGATCCCAGTAGCTTCCTGCCCCCACCCCAGAGGTTCTGATTTTGTGTGTTTGGGGTGGCAGTTATGTTCCAGCTCCCAGATTCCACAAAACTCGGCTTGGAAGGGTCTGCGGCCCCTGCGTTATCTTCCCAGTCGCAAAACAGGCTCAGTGACACAGAAACTAACAGTAAAAAAGATACTTTATTGTTAAAAAAAAACAGCAAATGACCAATGAAACCACGCATCTGTCACGCATGCCCACAGTCACACACACAGCTGCACACCATTCACACGAATCAGTCTCACCTACACGGCTCCCTTGCCGTGAGCGTTGGCCCTGGCAGCCCTGTGGGCGAGTCTCCATCGCTCTTCTTGAGACTTTTGTCTCCAGAAACAACACACATGAAAAGGCAGTGGACCGGGGAGAGGGGCTGGCAGGGGAGGGAGTGGCGAGGCCACCGGAGGCCACGGTGGCTCTGGTCCCCACCACTCCTGGCTACATACAGACTGCACATGTGTTCACGCCTACAATACATGGGCACTCACACGTGTAGATGTGTTCCTCATGTCTAGAGAAGAGAAATCCCGCTGGGAAACCCATCCAGACAGCAAGGTTGCAAAGTGCCTAAGAATTGTTGAAAAGAAGAATCATTTCCTTCCTGCTTTCAGCTGAAAGTGCCTGGGAAACTTGGGAGAAGGACCCAGAGTTCCTTGAGGTCTGAATTCTTTATCAAAGAAGGCCCAGGGCTGCCAGAATCCTGGCCGGTCCTGGCTGGTGGAGAGTCATGTGACCAGGAGCCGGGCAGTTCCTGGGGGGCCAGCTGGAGGGGCGGGGCCTTGGGAGGCAGGCCCAAGGGATGCCCGTGTCACTCTCCATCGCCGTTTCTCCCCGTGCCTGCTTTTGCGCCTCTCCCTGCTGCTTGGCCCTCGGCCCTAGGGGACACGTGTGGTCCTCTACAGCTCTGTGGCCTCTGTGGCAGGGCTAGTGGTCACGCGTCAGGCACGAACCTGCCTCCACAATGTAGTCATGGGCTGGTGTAAGAATGTGTCCCGGCACAGCTGGGCTACCCGGTGGCTCAGGCTCTGTCCCCTGGGGCCCAAGAGATGGGCCCGTCCCAGGAGGCGTTGCTCCCAGCTTTCTGGGCAACTGCTCCTGCACCCCCTCTCCCGGGTCCTCGTGCTGTTTCTGGAGCTCTGTCCTCAGCTTCCCTCCACCCTCAGGGACTGGCTGGGGGGCCGGAAGAGCACATTCCAAGGGACTGGGGGAGGCTCTGCTCTCCCCTTCCCAGTCACACTCAACTCACTGCCCGTGAGATGGGAGGAAGGTGCCAAGTCGAGCCCTTGGCCCCTGCCCGCCCTCTGAGCACAGGACCTAGAACATGACCTCCTCACAGCTCCCATAGTCGCTCTCCACCATGTCGGAGCCCTCGTAGTTGGGGGGCGCCTGGAGCTGGCCCTGGCCCGCGAGAGGTGCCCCCTCTGCCTCGCAGACGGCATAGGAGGGCCCAGCCCGGCTCAGGCGCATGCTCATCCCCTTGTAGCCCCCCTCCGCCAGGCAGGGACCCCGCCCCTGCCGGAACTGCGAGTGGTAGTAGCTGATGGCTGTGTACTCATTGAGGCAGGGTGCAAGCAGGCGCTCTCGGGGACTGGGCGGCCGGGAGGGCATCAGATCTTCCAGGTTCTGGTTGCTGTAGCGGGGTGGGAGAGGTGCCCGCTTGTTCTCCACCTCCAGGGGGAAGGGGAAGCCCCCGTAGAGGCCGGCGGGCTCTGGCATCACGACTGGGGTTGAGTGGCGGTGAGGCGAGGCGGGCAGAGGGCCCTGGGTCACTTCAGAGTGGGGGTACTCCCAGCACTCCTTCCTGGAGTACGCCGGGGGCCAGACGGCAGCTCCACCTGGGTACACTGCAAAGGAAGTGCAGATGGGTGAGCTCAGCTTCCCTGACAAGGCTGCAGCTGGCCCTACAGCTACAAGGGTAACTTAGCACATGAGGGATGGTCAAGAGTAGGAGAGTATGAACCCATCCGTGTGTCTGGCTTCTCCTTGGAGGCTCAGGTTGATTTACAGAATCCAGGAGGCAAGTTCAGGGCTGGAGGTTTACCCCAGAGCCAGCCCGTCTTGCAAATTTCTGCCACTGGCTGGAGGCTCAGTGAACCAGGGAAGGAGATGTCTGGCTCCGTGCAGCCCACCCTGCTGCTGGGCACAGCAGCTCCCTCCCAAGTCCTCCTGGTGAGTTTCCTCTCTTTCACCGAAGGAAGCAAACACAGAGTCTGGACTCAGAGGTATGATGGCATCTTTCACGGAGTGACGACATGAGACGTGGCTTGGAAATCGGGAGACCAGGAGTCCCCGGGCCCAGCTTGTCTCTGCTAAGAAGTAGCTGCGTGAGTGAGAATGGGTCACTTCATCTTGCGGGCCCTGGCTTTCCTACTGACAAACAATGAACATGCCTGCTGCAACAACTGGGGAATAGACCAGAAAACAGAAAAAGCTTCACAAACTCACCTCCATTTGAGCCAAAGGTGAGAGATGGGTGGAGTTCCCTGCTCTAGGCCAGCCAGATCTGGCCCGAGGCTGCTGTGCCTCCAGGTTGGGCGGCCAGATCTGGGCAGCCGCTTCCCCTCCCAGAAGAGCATAGGTGTAAGACGTGCCCTCTTCCTTCCAGGGATTTTCCCAGCCTATCCCAGGTCTGCACGTTTCTGCCATGAACACCAATCCCATAGAGGACTGAGCATTTAGACGAGTGGGTCGTCGTACCACAGAGACCCGGCACCTACTCCAGTCACAGCTGCACCATGACCTTGGACATCTCGCATCCTGTCCCAGCCCAAGGGACTGGACTGGGTGGTGGCTGAAAATGTGCCTCAGATGATGGAGTGTTCAGGTTCACCAGCCCCTTCCATCAGCCCCAAAGCCAAACTCACCCATCTCCTCGCCCGACCAGGTCCTTTTGATGACACGTTCACTGTCAGAGTGGTAGGAGGGGACCACAGTTGGCGGGAGTCTGGGTGGCACACTGCACACCACTGGCCGTTGCTTGGAGTTGAGTCCGAATGTGGCCAGTTCACTGGGAACCGAGGGCTTGCTGGGCTCTGGCTGATTCAGGCTGTGGCAGGAGCTGGCATTCACCGGGTTGAGCTCGATGGCAGGCAGGACCTGGGTGTCAACACCAACGCTCCTGGCCAGGAGGTCTGGGTCCTCCATGGCCACAGGCTTGTGAGACTTGCAACGGCGGCAGTAGAAGAGAACCCCGACAGAGCTACTGAGGATGAGCACAGTGGCCACCAGGATGATCAGCAGCTCTTGCTGTCCCCAGTCCCCGCTTTTGATCTTGGGAGTGACCAGGCAGTGTCCTTCTGAGCAGCCCCGAGCTTCCATCTCACACCTACGGAGACAGAGAGGGAGGTGGGAGCCGAGTCATGGGATGGCCTTTTCCATGTCACCTCTTACAAAGGTCTATGTGCTAAAGACTACCTCCCTAGCCTACCCTCTTTTTTTTTTTTTGAGTTGGAATCTCATTCTCTCACCAAGGTTGCCACGCTCATGGCCACCGCAGCCTCAACCTGCTGGGCTCAGGTGATCCTTCCATCTTAGCCTTCCAAGTAGCTGGAACTATAGGCATGCACCACCACACCCAGCACATTTTTTTATTTATTGTAGAGATGAAGTCTTGCCAAGTCACCCAGGCTGGTCTCGAACCCATGGACTCAGGCAATCCTTTCACCTTGGCCTCCCAAAGTGCTGGGATTATAAGCATGAGCCACTGTGTCTGGCCCTCTCTTTCATTTTTCACCAAAAAAAAAAAAAAAATTCTCAAACATCAACATCAGAATTTATCATCTTCTACCTGCACTCATAGGTCTATCACAGCACTATTCGCAATAGCAAAGTCGTGGAACCAACCGAGGTGCCCATCAATGGGGAACCAGATAAAGAAAATGTGGCACATACGCACTATGGAATATTACACAGCCATAAAAAAGAACGAAATAAAGTCTCTTGCAGCAACAGGGATACAGCCGGAGACCATCATTCTAAGCAAACTAACACAGAAACAGAAAACTGAATAGCACATGGTCTCACTTTTAAGTGGGAGCTTAACACTGGGGACACACAGGCACAAGGACGGGAACAAAAGACACTGGGAACTCCTAAAGCGGGGAGGGAAGGAGGGGCAAGGATTGAAACACTACCTATTGGGTACCATGTTTACTATTTAGATGACAGGTTCAGAAGAAGTCAAAACCTTGCCATCACATTATATACCCACACAACAAACTTGAACATGTACTCCCTGGGTCTAAAATTTTAAAGAAAAAAAAGAACTTTCCATCTTTCAGGAGTCAAGCGTGAGCCTCAGCCATACCCTCACTTGTGACCCCTAGGAGCTGGACTCAGGGAAGGTCTACAGTTTTCCAGCAGTGAGATCCAGGCATTGGATGTTCCTTCACCAGTGAGGCCAGAGGTCCACCCACAACACTGCTCTGAAGGCACCTGTGCACCTGGCTGGCCTTTGGCAGCAATGTCAACATTTAGGTGCAAGCCTGCAGCTGCACAGTAATGGTGACGAGACACCTGTGTTCCCTGCTGTTCTTCCCCAGGAGGTCACAGGAGCTCAGCTATCTTACACTGGGCAACTCATCCAGGGAAAACTCTTGAGACCCTGTGTCCTCCCAGGGCACTTCCAGTTCAGCATTCCATGGTACGGGGCTCGTGAGAACCTTCTACGGACAGCTTATCCACTTTGAGGGATACTGGCAGTCTCCCCCATCCCACTTGAGTTCAAAACATCTCCCAGTGTCGAAATTTTACCACCAATGGTTTGCTCTTTGGAGTACAGTGCTGTTGTCCCCAAGTTCCTCTTTTTGACATGCAAACTCCATTTCCAGCTGTGAAGTGTCCCCAACACATCTGGTGAGTGGCAACATTCCCTACCACAGAGTAGGGCAGGACATGGGGTGGGAAACACCAGTTGACCAAAAAAAAGGATTTGGGTCATCAACACTGGGTAACCTTGGGCAAGCCCTCCCCCTGTCTGGTGTCTGGGCCTCAGTTTCCCCATTTGTAAAATGTGTTGGTGGACTACATCCCTGGCTGACAGTAAGGGAACCTCTGGGAGTTTGTTAAAAATGGAATCCAGGCCCAGCCAGGCAATTCTGAGCCCATTGGTCTAGGTTGGGTCCAGAGATCTACATTTTCACAGGCTCCCTCAGGACTTTTTAAAGGCTCCCAAGTTTGAGAGCCATAAAACCAGACAACTGCTAAAGTCCCTCTCCCTCTCCAGTTCTGGGAATGATTCTCTCCTCTGTAACTGCCACAGCCCAGCACAGCACAAGGTGCTGGCAGCTTGCAGCAGGGTCCCAGATACAGCAGTGCCTGTCCCAAGTGGAACTGTCTTCCCCAGGCCGCTTTCTGGGAAGCTACCTTCCATGGCAAGAGAATAAGAACCGCAGCTGTTTACAGACTCCAGCGAAGATCAGGATGACTGGAGGAGCTGGTTAAAAGCACAGATTCCTAAGCACCAACTTGGGAGTCAGAATAGGGCTTGGGAATTCTGTTTTTAACAAGCACCCCCAAAGTGCTGTGATGCAGGTGGCTGGAGACAGATGCCTTAATATGTGGGAAAGGTCTGAGGCCAGGTCTCCCAAGCACTCTGCCCCAGCCTCCCACTGGCCTCTCTTGAAGTCACAGTGCAGAAGTCCTTCCCTAGTGGTGCCAAACCCAGGGTGGGGAGCCACAGTGGGCGGCATCTCTGGGCTTACCTGTCTCCCGTGTAAGGGTGAGGACAGGCACAGGAAGCCCCTTCAGGGGAAGAGACGCAAGTTCCTCCTTCCAGGCAGGGTGTGGAGGTGCAGTTCTCCTTTCTTTGCTCGCAGTGTTTCCCAGAGAATGGCGGGGGACACTTGCAGACGTAGCCTGGGAGGGTGACAGGGAAGGCAAGAGTGTTGGACTAGCATTCAGGGGACACCTGGCGTGCTGCAGCCCTGTGTGTCACGTAGCCACCCAATGATCATGGGTGTGTCGTGGGCGAGCTCTGTGCTCACACCGTGCTGGGCATTGGTGCCCTGCTGAACAAGAGCACTTGGGCCCTGCCTCAAACAACTTATAGCCACCCAAAGACCAGTAGTAATAATAATAACAGACACTTATTTGGGACTAGTCAGTGTTCTAAGAATCTTCATGTATTGGTTTGTTTGATCTCTTCAAGGACCCTGAAGGATCAGCTACTGTTGTCATCCTCATCAAGGGACAGGTGCCAGGAGATGGCAGGTGAAGAAGGGAGGCACAGACAATGGGTGGCATTTGCTCAAGGTCACACAGCTAGAAAATGGCAAAACTGGGATTCAAACCAAGACAGCTGCCGATACTATCAGGATCTAAGTCATTATAATAAAATCAGTTTTATCGAAGGGAAGCGTTGAGGGGAGGCTTAGTCTAGGAACCAGGGAAACACTTCAGTGGAGACTTGGAGGGTTGAGTAGAAATTAGTCAGGCACCAAGACAAGGCGGACAAAGAGGAAGGCGTTTCAGGCCAAGAAGAAGTGTGTGCAAAGGCTGGGACAGAGTTAGGCTACACCAGGGTGGGCCAGCCTGGCGAGGAGCCGGGAGGATGTGAGCTACAGCCTGCCTGGGAGGTGGGAGGGGCCACATACAGGGATTTGGACCAGTTCTCAGCAGGAGTGCAGCGTGTGTAGATCTGCACGGAGAGAGACCACCCAGCTCCTGCTGGAAGGCGGAATGCAGGGAGAGGAGATGGGGCTTGGGTTAGAGGAACAGCAGTAGAGATGGAGAGAAATGACGGACACCTTGGATATTTTTGCAGGTAGACATGACAGTACAATTAACCCAACAGAAAGCAGAAAATGGGGCTGGGTGTGGTGGCTCACACCTGTAATCCCAGTGCTTTGAGAGGTCAAGGCAGGAGGATCACTTGAGGCCAGGAGGTCAAAACCAGCCTGGACAACATAGAAAGACCCTATCTCTACAAAAAATAAAATAAAGTAAATTATCCAGGCATGATGGCACACACCTACAGTACCAGCTACTCGGGAGGCCGAGGCAGGAGAATTGTTTGAGCCCAGGAGTTCAAGGTTGCAGTGAGCTGTGATTGATCACACCACTGCACCCCAGACTCTCTTAGGAAAAAAACAAATGGGATAACATCGTGTTGATAGGCACGTGGGTTCACAGGAACCCACCTGCTGCAGCCATGCTGAGAGCAATTCAGTCCTATTTAGTCAGACTGCATGCATCTGTGCTAGTGTGTGTGTGTGTGTGTGTGTGTGTGTGTGTGTGTGTGAAGGAAACTCACTGCATAGCTGTTGATGGCGGTGGGCCCTGGAAGCCACAGGGAGTATGTGGCGAGAGGTGGACAGGGAAATGTGGGTGGGTATGCACCATGGAGACCTGAACCATGATCAGAAGCAGCAAATGAGAACTGTTCCTGGCAGCAGGAGTGATCTCAAAAGCAAGATGCTGAGTGACAGTGTAAACAATTACATACCATTCATATACATTATAATCCAAGCATGTGAAAGGCAGTACTTGGTATTTTGCAAGAGCTTACTCCAGACCTCCCAATGTTTCTCTCTGGGGGTGGGAAGGGGAAGGGCGTGGGTGAAGGTTAAAGGCAAAGGAGAAAGACTTTTGCTTGGACCAGTGATGACACTAAGGCGTGTGGGTAACTCGGCCCTCTGAACCTGGGACCCCTTTCATGCCCTTCCTCATCCCCCAATGTAGAAAGTTTTCACTGAAGGAGACTCCTAGCTTCCTCCAGTGTAGACCAATCAGATCCCTACCCACCACTCATAAGACAGTGAGGGGAAGAGAGGAAGATTTGGAACCAAGAGGCAGGAATTCTCCACTGCGATCTGTTCCCTAACATGCCCTCCCACTTAGAAGCCATGTGACTTTGGGCAAGTTTCCAGACCCCTCGGGGCACCCCTCATACCTAACAGGTTTCTGAGCCATCACATGGCTCTCCTCCCTCCTGGTCACCTTTGTGGGGCTGTGGTGAAGGAGCCTGCTTTGTAAACTCCACAGCGATGCATGTTAGTGCAACGTGTCAGGGTCCTGCAAAGAGCCTTCGGGGACGAACCTTTGAGGCCAGCCCCCAGCCCAGCCCTCACCTGTCCCTGGTGTCCGGGAGCACTTCCCACCATTGAGGCACGGGTTCTGGCTGCAGTCATCACCGTGGATGCAACACTGGGCGAGGGCCCACGTCTCCAGCTTGCCTGCCACCATCCCACCAGGGACCCGCAGCTCCAGCGTCTCTCCATTGACCACGACAGCATCCAGGCAGCCCTCGAAGCCCTGGGAGACGTTTGAGGAGGGATGCGAGAGGACAAGGCCGCCCAGCAGGAGGTGTCCCTCAGGCCTGGGACCCCGGCAGTTCTCTGGGATCGCGAGGGAGGCATTGTCCATGCTGTCGACCGACAGGCGAATAAACGTGTCTGTCTCCTCCACCAGGATGGAGTGCCATTCGTGGTCATTCATGTGGCGCTTGGAGGAGAGATTTCCATGGTAACCACCCGGACAGTGGTGTTCCAGCCGGGGCACTCCACTGACCAGCTGCAAAGAAAACCCAGACCGACATCAGCAAAGCCACCGAGTCCTTGTAAACCTGCTAGCCGGCTGCCAAGACAAAGAATGTTGTTTGTGCTTTCAGGGGCAGAGGGGCAGAGCTTGGTGATGCTCATGGCTATTTTAGACACGGCTTTTGCAGAGCATAAAAACCCTCAAAGTGATCCTGTGTCAATGGCTTCCTTTGGCCCTCACCACACTCCATGGGATGGTCTGGGTGGGGGTGACATCTCCATTCCACAGATGAGGAACCTGAGGCCCAGAGATGCTTGCTGATTGAAACCTTGTAATTTGGATTCTTCTTCACAGGTCTGGCCAGGGTTCTACACTGGCCGTCAGGGGTCAGAAAATATGCAAAGTCTGTTGTCTTCTATTAAGCCAGACATCGGAGAGGCTTGCCAGTGTGGGAAATAATGCCATTCTTCTTTTTATTTTGAAAAATTTAATTGTGGTTCATAAAAATAGGGTATTTATGTTAGCATCGAATCGATTTCTTCTTAATAAATTAATAAATACCGATTTAACATTTTCTCCATTTTTTTGTTTTTGTTTTTTGAGTCAGAGTCTCACTCTGTCACCCAGGCTGGAGTGCAGTGGCACGCTCATGGCCACCGCAGCCTCGACCTTTCAAGTACCTGAGACTATAGGCATGTACCACCATGCCTGGCTAATTTGTCTTGATTTATTGTAGAGATGAGGTCTCACCAAGCTGTCCAGGCTGATCTCGAAGCCCTGGGCTCAGGCAATCCTTTCACCTTGGCCTCCCAAAGTGCTGGGATTATAGGTGTGAACCACCGCACATGGCTTTCATTTTTTTGAGTTGGAGTCTCACACTGTTGCCTAGGCTGGAGGGCAGTGGTACACTCATGGCCACCACAGCCTCAACCTGCTGGGCTCAGGCAATCCTTCCACCTCAACCTTCCAAGGAGCTGGAACTACAGGCGTGTGCCACCATGTCTGGCTAACTTTTTGATTTATTGTTTTGATTTATTGTAGATTCGAGGTCTCACCAATTTGCCCAGGCTGGTCTTGAACCCCTGGATGTAGGCTATTCTCTCGCCTCAGCCTCCCAAAGTGCTGGGATTACAGGCTTGAATCACCATGCCTGGCCCAGTTTTAATTTCTAATACTGAAAACATAAGTAGTTATAACTCACATATATAACAATATGGAATTCTCCATAATTTTTAGGAGTGTATAAAGTCCTGAAATCAAAAAGTCTGAGAATCACTGGGTTAAAATATCTTAGTTCACTTCATTCCCAAGAGGTAGGACTGCTTGTGGCCAAATACTTTTCTGGTCACTCTGAGTTCGGTAGTTTTCTCTGGTGAAATGTGAAGGTCTAACCAGTGTTTCCTAGAAGTGGGCCATCTGCACACCACCTTCCTGATTTTTGCCCTAGTTAAATACCACCACTATCTTTATATATATTGCTGTTGTTGTTGTTTTTACTTATTTATTTCTAGTTAGAGTCTCACCCTGTTGCCCAGGCTGAAGGACAGTGGCACAATCACGACTCAGTACAACCTTGACCTCCTGGGTTCAGGCAGTCCTCTCGCCTCAGCCTCCCGAGTAGCCAGGACTCCAGGCATTCGCCACCATGCCTGGCTAATTTTTGGATTTTTTTATAGAGCTGAGGTCTTGCTATGTTGCCCAGGCTGGTCTTGAACTCCTGGTCTCAAAAAATTCTCCCACTTCAGCCTCCCAAAGTGCTAGGATTCTCCACACCTGGCCCAGAATCTTTCCAGAATCCAACACCCTCTTCCTAGTTCCACTTTCATCACCCCAGTCTAAACTGCCTTCCTCTATCGCCCAAATTATTGTAATGGCCTCCTGAGTGGGTCTCTCTGCCTCTATCCTTGTTTCTCTCAAGTGAATTCTCAACACAGCAGCCATGATGACCCTTTAAAAATATGTTAGAGCAAGCCAGGCACGGTGACTCATGTCTGTAATCCCAGCACTTTGGGAGGCGAAGGCAAGAGGATAATAGCCTGCATCCACGGGTTGGAGAACCTTGTCTCTACAATGAATTTTAAAAAGTAGTCGAGTGTGGTGGCATGTGCCTATGGTTCCAACTACTTGGAAGGCTGAGGTGGAAGGATCACCTGAGCCCAGCAGATCGAGGCTGTGGTGGCCATGAGCATGCTACTGTACCCCAGCCTGGGAGACAGAGTGAGTGTGTGACTCAAAAAAAAAAGATCATTGCACTTATCTACTTAAAACCTTCTAATGCCTCCATTTTGTCAGAATAAAAGCCAAAGTTCTTTTTTTTTTTTTTGAGTTG